AAAAGGTTAAATGCACAACCCCAAGATCTCCCACCCCGATTCGACATGATGGTGGGGAGGTTAATCACAGTGATTCGGTCAGCAAAACGGCACTAGACTTTTATCTGTGCGCACCAGAGGGTCAACTTTATTTCAAGTTCTCAAATACTAATTACTTCAAGTGGTCAGATTGAATATTTTGACAGGAATTGAGTTAATTAGATTGAATTCCGGTCGATCATGTACATATTTTGATAGTAGGTCTAGTTTTGATCGTTATGGGCAATTTAAATCGGATCATTCAACTTTTTAAAAAAGAAGTTCAACATGAATATTCATGAAATAAATGTATATTACAATTCCGTGGTAATTTCTTTGTGACAAAAACCTTTGGCACCGATTTAATAAGAATTTATGGATTTGTTAAGACTCGTGATTCCATTCTAAAAGGTTAACTCTAATAGGAGAAGTAATCCAGATCTTAATATAGCACTTAATTCCTTCACAAATTTTCGATGTGGAAATGTAAAAGGATTCTAGCTTGTCAAAATTATTTCGTCAAACGATGTTTAGCTCAAAGCCATGTCAAAAAATATCTATCAATATATCTTCATGTTTTGGATCTGATCACCATTGCATATTACCGGAAGCAGTGGCGGAGCCAGAAAAACGATTCAGGGAGGTCGAAACTCAACCTATATACATAATGAAAATGATGGATTGTTTTTAAACAATAATGTCTAAGTTGAATATTTTATATGCAGTTTAGATAAATAGTCACTCGTAGCAATAAAATAGATTGTTTTTGCTCTGTTTTTGAGTCGTGTCACGTAACTATTGAGTGAATTATACCCTATTTTTAAAATTTTGGAAAACTGATTTATAGTATGCATCAAATTTTGCTGATTTTACGTTTAGATATTGTTGATTTTCTCGAAGTCATAACTTTTTACTCGTAATGAGTTACGGGGGACCATAATATATATCAAATCGAAGATATATCAGAGCACTATACTCTCAAACTTTCAGCGAGGTCAGATGATCACCCTGATGAGTACAAGACTGAACAAGTCACAGGCTGAGGGGGCGATATCCCCCCTCCCGGCTTGTTTGTCTCCACGGACGGGCCAACGGTGAAAAATAGACACAATATCTATCATTATAATGCAATGATAGTGTGATACGAAGTATATATTTTCTAATATTCGTAGGATCAAAATGTATTACTTTGGGATTGTGTTTTTATTAAGAGTAAATTCTCTAACTATGAGTAAAAAAAATTCAAATTCCAAAATAGGACTATCTTTTTTTTATTCCTTAAATAGGAGTAAATTTTTGCCAAGTTTGGCATTACTAGACTTTTAAACATGACATTTTTTCCAAACTTGGCAGATTACTCATATTCAAGGAATAAAAAACATGATACTCATATTTTGGAATTTCAAAGCGTTTTTACTCCTATTTAGGACAATTTCTATTTTATTAATGACGAATGTTTCTTCATCAACATAACAATGTTTCTTTAATTCTTTTTAGCAGCTTCTACAACATCCAATTTCAAACCCTTGTTGTAAAACTAATTATGTTCAAGTAGATGTCTAGATTAGAAGATGAAACACAAGTCTATCAGTAATATTGATACTACTTTTCGGGACCGAAAGTGGGGCACTTACTGCCAGCAAGGGCGTAGCTCGGGGGCAATCCTGACCCCGACCCAGTCCAAATTTAAAAAGTATCTATCTTTTTAGTAAAAATTATGTATAATGTTTTTTCCAAAAATATTTTTTATAGCAGTCTGGCCCAGTGTCCTGAGTGCCAGCCCCTAAGTCCCCCACTCACTATGTAAATTGTGTTGTTTGTTATACATTGCGTATAATTAATGTACTCCCTCCGTCCTTGCCAAATTTACTTTTTTTATCAATGTCAATCAACTTTGATCTATGATATTTTTTAATATGAAATTATTTAGAATATGATAATTGTATCAAAATGTTCCTTATGACAAACCTTTTCGGGACGAAGGTAGTACTCCCTCCGTCCCTACATTATCTTCAAACTTTCCTTTTTCGTCCGTCCCAAAATTATCTCCTCTTCCCCCTTTTAGCAAAAAAATTGTGGTTCAGAACCATTCTTACACATTCTTACACATTTCTCTCTTCTCTGCACAACTCTCCACCACACAAATCTCACTATCTTAATAAATGTGCCCAGCCGAAAAGGAAGAAAGATTAGGGACGGAGGGAGTACATAATAATGCTAATCCTTTCTTATCCGAAATAGATTTAATACATTAAATTAATTCATTTTCTTGCATTGTTGTTATACATTATTAATCCTATAAACAACAGTTATACCGTCGATCTTTGTGGCGTTAAATTTGAGTTTTTTCTATATTCTTTTATAATTTGCTTCTAGTAAGATCTAGAGAGGGCTCTGACTATATTCTGCGCGCAAAAAACATTAACCGTGTGATTGTGTGTATATATGGGGAGTATCACACAAGTGGGGCTTTCACTTCTTAATTTATTTTATAAAGTTAACATTTTTTGTCGATCAATCTTAAAGTTAAATACTCTTTATAGCTAAATACTTCAATTTTAAGAATTACAATTTACATATTCAGAAACTAAATTAAAATCTTACAAAATTGTAAAATCCAAACTAAAATTTAATGAAGAATTGCTATCATAATTAAGTGATTAAAATGAATCCGTTTGACACAAAAAGTCAAATTTTGCAAATCAATTTGAAACGGAGGGAGTAATAATAGGTAAAAATGTTAGGTTTTCACGATCTCTAATTTTTTTCTTTCTTTCGATCTTAACGATGTAATTTCTCATCCTAAATCCATAGAATCTAATATGTATTCAGTCTTCTATATACTTTCTTGATTACCCCTAAATGCAGTATTCTTCAAGGCTAGAGATGAATTCTTTTTAACTTTTCACACATCACACTTATATATCTAATGTCTTCCATATATACTTTTAGCAAAATATAGATCAGGAGGCTTCACAGTACTCATCAAGAAGATATATGCAGCGTTCTCTGGTATGTTAGAACTTCAATTTTCTAGAGACACCTAGAATATTCTAATGCATTTCATACAGCTTTCCTCAAGTATCTAAAGAATTTTCAAATTTCTACGTACGTAATGTTTTGTTTACACAACTAGAGAATTCTACAGATTTCTATCCCTTTATGAACTTGCAAATTGCAAAATTCAAAATCCTTCTTAATAACATTAAAAAAAGGGATAAAGGTCAAATAGGTGCTCGAACTTACATAAAAAGATCAAGAGATCGTTTGGCAACCCTCATTTTCGGCTTATCAGGCTTATCAACCAACTTTTTTACCAAACATGTAAATTTTGTTTTCGCGCGCTGAATTGTGTAATAAGCCGAAAAAGTAAGGTTGGAGTTACTTTTCTGGCTGTATTGGCTGAAGTTACTCTAGATGACCATTTTTAGCTATTTTTACATGTAATTTTTTCTTTATTTTATTAATAAAATATATTTTAAAAATATTTTTTTCTTGTATCAGCAGAATCAGCCAATGCAGCCACTTCAACCAGTAATTCATAAATTTCAGCAGAATCAATCAGAATAGCCGATTTTCGTGCTGCTAAACGGGCTCCAAATAAGACCTTAACAAGCAACTTTTAAATTAAATAGCATAAATTTTTAAAGATGTGCCACTAATGTAATGTACAATATAATGGACCCTTATATATAGAAAGCGTAGAGTATTATATAAAGAAAGCGTAGACTAGTAGCTCTTTTATCCCTTTTCAACCAATCAAATTTTACGCGTAATATAATGAATTTTATTATCACGTAGGATGTCTGCATTTGGATAGAAAATTCCGAGTCCTGTCTACTCTAGCTATTTAAGATTGGCCTAATATCTTAACACTGTATTATATGCATTTTATATGGGGAATTTTACTTTAGATCTCACTCTTGGGATTATGTTAAACTTTTCATTCTATTTTTAAATTTTTTTACAACTATCATATAACATCTTGCGAAGAAAAATAAATTCAAAAGATTTTTAAGAGAATTGAGGTATAAAGTCAAAGTTTTTAAAAAATGTAATGCAAAATCCAATATCATCCAAAATGGGGTGAAAAATCAAAATTTCTCATTTTATACTTGTCCAACAATATTTTCAACATTTTCACTTCAACTAACTGAAACCAGCGAAGTGAAAACAATTTTTGATATTATTAATTTGACGATTTTAAATCTAGTCTAGTATGGTATAGCATTCAAATTGGTATCCACGTTGAAATATTGAATAGTGAGTATCACGTACGGTTACGCATTCGATATGTTCTTACGTGATTTATAGACTTGTACCTAAATTATACCTAAATTGTTATATTAAATCTTGAAGTTTCATCTCATGAACCTAATTGCATGAAAAGCTCAAAGTTTTATACTCTCATTTGTATTTTTATATGCAACCGATACGTCCACAAATGATGGCTCGTTGGAGAAAACATCCAATCTTGTAATTTGTGTGCTCATTGTTGAAACTTATCGGGATTTAATTGCTCATTCGAGCTTGATGGGTTCTTATACTATGTGTATTGCCTTACGAGATCAACATTATAGGAAGAATAGTTCAAGACTTTATAGCTCAATAATGAGGAGCTCAATATGTTAGAAATAATTGTTCTAAATATAATTCAAATATAACCACTACTATTCTTTGGTCCTAAAATGTCATTAATTAAATAAAAAGAACATTAATAGTCCATTGGTATTAAAGCATGCAGATTCCTTAAGACTAGTTATTACGAACCCATATATCTACCTTCTTTATTTAGAAATAATGAGGAGTCATAATCTGCTAGCTACGTATTTTACTATTTTTCGCAAATAAACCATATCTTGTAATGCGATTGATACTTACATTTAAGTTTTCTATTAGAGGAATTCAAATTTTCTATTCGAACATTTTAAAATCTACGATGAAAAGAGAATAAAAAAAGTAAAGGGAAAAGCTCGAAAATCAAGGGAATGAAACTGGGGATGTTCCTTTTGAGCCAAAAAGAGAGTAAAATATAGCGAGAATAGAGGAGTACATCATCTTCATAGTTTCAGAATTCAGACGGAGTACAAAATATAAATAATTACATGTTAACTTTAATTAAACGGAAGCTAAATACCAATAACTACTGGTATTATTCTTATTATTGTAATAATACATACAGTAATTTCTTAATAATTACATCTAGCTGCTGCAAAACCAGTAGGTTATCTTTTCCCGACGAAGAGCAGAATGCTGTTCATTTCTCAATAATAGGAATAGCAATAACACTAATTAGTTCCTGAAATTCTTACCAGTTCCAGGCTTCTTATTGGATTTATTGCGCACGGGCTGCGTGACCTGATAGAGATCGACGACGGATCGGAACTTCCGTTTCCTCGGCCGCGGGAAAGCCTCCAAGGCGGCTTCATCGAGATCAATATTATCGGAGACGGCGTCAGCGGTGACGCTCTCCTCATCGCCGGCGTTGTTGCAGTACCTTCCGCTGTCGGAATCGCCACTGAGCTGAATCAGCTGCAAAGCCGCGTCCATCTCCGGCTCCGTCAGCCTCGATTCCGTCTCTTCGCCGCCGCCTCTGTCGACGCCCTTCCTCCTCCTCGCCCAAGTCAATAACTTCTTCATTCGATTGAACGATCGATCGATCGATTCACGTTGAGTTTGAAGTTTGAACTATACAGAAGCGATCGTATAGTGGGAGTTATGGATTTCGTTTCGTAGCGGAAGGGAAGAAAACGGATTGGAGGAGAGTGGAGGCGGATTTCCTTGTTTGTAGAAAGTGAAAATGACGAAAATATCCGGGCAGTTTCTCTTGCTTTATTTTGCTGCTGTACTTTTAGGGGGTCCATGGTTTATGTACGGAGAAGAAGCATTTATTGAGGTTCCTGCATGTCTAATTTCGTAATTTTGGTGTCCACATTATTTTCACCGCCTCCAAGTCTCCACATTTCTATCAAAACTTCACCGCCTTACGATATTCAGCCCTGTTTGCCATGCATCCATTCCAAAATGGGTTTTTTCGATTAATGTTAATTAATTAATTAATTACGAAATCAATGTTGGGTTAACATCCAAACGTTCTATTTCATATTGGTGCCAGTCTGAACTCAATTGGGGCCGATCGAGAGCGCTCCGGTTGCGAAAATTTGCGTTTTTCATCCTAAATCCATCCAGATTATCACAATTCACCGTTTGACATCCGATATGCATAACCAAAGACATCAACACATCATAAACAAATGAAAAAGTATTAATAACACAATATCGATTAGTTTGCAGGTGAAAATACGTTAAAAAGTAAAATGTTTCTACAAAATTTGGTGTACATTATTTTGTCCAATAATAGAGAGACTACATGTTTTCATGGTCTTCTTGATCGTCTTGGTCATGGTCTTGGTTAGAGACGGATCCAGGATTTCGAGACAAGGGGGACGAAAAATTTTATTAGGGTAGGAGCTAAAAAAATTCACTAGTGTAGCGGGACGATTTTTTTTTCTAGTGTAACGGGATGAATTTTTTCACTAGTGTAAGGCTCTGCGGCTATTTTTATTCAAAAAAAAATCATTAATGCATACATGATGACATTTAAAACTATATATTACATTCTAAGTTTAGACAATGACAATATATTTTAATTTTATAATTGGAGTGCTCTAGAAAAAGTATTGATACATTAAAGCATAAGGAATGACAAATTAATAAGAGAGGCATTAACCTCCTTCATCCACGGAGCGGCAACCCTAGCGCCGCAGCAATTGAAGCACGAGCAGATCAAGGACCAGCCTCTTCATTAGCTTTCTCCCATTAGCTTTCATCTTCTCGGTCTGATGGTGATCCAAACTATGTGACAGTGACATCGACGCTCAGAGATTCTTGATAGAGTATGTTCCAATTGGATTATTGTTCTCTTTTGGTGGTATTGATTTTGTTTTATGGTGGTTCTTTCCCGCGCACTGATGCTCCGAAGTTGTTTGTCTCTCTCGATGTGGGGAGTTATGTTCGTGTCCCGGCTAGCTTCGCTTGTCCAGGAGTTTATGTCTGCTTTCTTCTAGAGTTTGTTGACATTGGTAGAACTCGTCCTCCTCCAGAACCACATTCGTGCCATGAAGAGTTTCGCAGAAAGATTTTATTTCATTTTTATTTTTCCATTAGTAGTACTTGTTTTTATTTTAGTTTCAGTAGATTTGAGTTGACAATTTGGACTTCTGGCATACGTTTGATATGCAGTATTTCAGTTCCAATTGTTTTAGACTTTAAATTGCCTGATTTGTGTCTAACGAATCAGGTTGCTTTGTATGAGGTGCCTGATTCTATGTCTATTCCTAGAGCTCACAATCGGATATGTTATAATTATCTGGATGTTATCTTGTATCTTTTCTCGATTTTAATATAAAAGCCGATCCTCCTGATTCAAAAAAAATGGAAAATAATATAAAATAAAAAAAGATATATAACATTTTATTTAAATATAAAGAGTTTATAACTACATGAGTCTTATAGAAATAAAGAATTGATTTTTAAATTACAATTTTTGTCTACAATGGAGGGTGTTCATAAGTCACAAGCAATTTTTTTAATATTACAATATATAGTATGTATGATTTTATTATTTTTAGATTAATATTATATTGCTAATTCATATATATAGTGCATATTATATTTGTGGTGATGCTAAAATAATTAAAGTTTATTATCTATGCAATAAAGTCTTTTTAGAACGTAAAAGTAAATGAATTGTGTAATTTAATGTCAATAAACATTTATGATTTGGATTCACTTCACATGATCTAAAAACTTTGTAACTAGAGTGGCTGGTATTTAATATTGTTTCATACAAATTTTTCAAAATTGTTTACTAGTTATCTAATAAAGATAATTAAACATTACAAAACTAAGATTTTTAAATAATAAGTATCCTAAATCTTAAATAATGAGTTGTTCTATTGTTTATTTAAGTTATGTAAATTATTTTAGATGTTCCTTTTTAAAAAAATATCCAATTAAGTATTACATTATGTAAGACTATATATTAATTTTAAAAACTAAAAGTTAAGGGGGGGACATGTTCAAAAAAAAAATAAGGGGGCGAATTTATTTAAAGTATCAAAATTTTACAAAAACATTACATATATAGTAGAGAATTTTGAAAGTCCTGGATCCGCTGACACCTCCATAGTGCATACAAAAAATGAAAAGGTGTGTTAGTCAATAATTAAGAAATAATTTTAAATCATTATTTTATAATTCACATTACTATGAGTTGGGGAATTTAATGATTAAATACTTACGAAGTGGACCCCCCCACCATCTCCTGAAGATCTATTCGCACATGTGGCCCTATTATGACCGGTTTGTTTACATATTCCGCATCTTACGGTTCCTCTTCCACCTTCATCCATCTCATTCTTAATTCGTGTGGACTTTGGTCGTCCCTTTGCACGAAGCATGGATGGGTCGTGTGACGGGCACTTTGTCGTAGTGCATCAAAATAATATTCAATACTAACACTTATATGTAGTGTAGCGTAGTAGAGTTCGTATCCACATGGAAAGGAATACTTTTCTTTTTATGAACTTAGTAAATAAAAGGGGGGTTTTAGTGTTGAATGATTTAATTTAATTAAAAACTAAGATGAACAACTTATATGTGATTTAATTCAAAGATAAAAGGAACTTGGCTTTGCTACTTATCCCCTCTCGAATACTCAATCGAGAAGTATATCCAATTCATCGAAGGTAGTTATTAACAATGACCGTTCATTAATAATCTTTACTATTAATCAAATATAGAACAACGCCTTATACCGATTTAATAGTAGCATTTAATCTTTCTAACTTCTTGATGAAATCAATTGAGATTGATAACCTCAATACAACGGTTTCGGTTTAACCAACAAAATTAATCCCTCTTAACTTTATTAACCACGAGTAACGACCTTGCATTAATAAAGCGAAGTTACTTACTTGTGAAACCATCAACGATTAACCATCGATTCGTTGATCGTTTCTAGTAATAATTAATATTGAGATGTTGACTAATTGTCATCTTAGCAACACTCCCCAACATTAATATAGAAATAGATTAAGGGAAGAATTAATATTCAAGGAGAGAAGTTAAGAAAATAACTCACAACTTTAATAATCAACAAGCTTCAAGAGCAAAACCAAGAAATGGAAGTTTAGCTCCTCATTTGGAGACTAAACATAGCTAGAAAAATATAAAGAATGCTATTCTAAACTAAGCTTAAGAGTATGGAAGAAGGGATGATTATTAGTGAAGGAAAAGTGTGCTATTTATAGGTGTTTTTCAACACCTTTGGCCGGGTACCCGACCGGGTCAAGTGCCCACCCGACCGGGTGCATGTCAAAATCAGATAATCTTCCACGTTCTTGTGTTTCAGCACGTCGATTTGTCCCGGGTCACATCTGACCCGACCCGATGCAATAGAGGACCTGACCGGGTCCAGTATTTTCCTTGAAATTTTGGTTGTTAAATCAGACCCGACCGGGTGAAATCTTCTACCTGGTCGGGTGTTTGCTCCTGGACAGTCAAAATTCCTTTTTCTTCACTTCAAAGTCTTCCTTTTCAACAGCATAATTCCTGATTCTACTTTACAACTTACAAATGAAGATTAAAATACAATTACAACTAAAATCACACAAATGTTTACAAACTAAATAAAATGGTAAACAATCCACACAAATCAAACATAAGAACATACATTTATGCACTACTAATTAGTGCATATCATCGTGCACAATTCGTGATCCGTTGTAAGGCGGCCAATAAGCACGATCAGGAATGGGTTTAAAAACTCATTGATATGAAGCGGCGTATTGAGCAGATGAGAAAAAACGATTCACAAAAGTATGGTAAGACAAACTACGTTGTCTATACACAGCTAATACATGGGAGCAAGGAATCTTATATATTTCCACCTTCTTACAAGTACATGTACGCTTCTGCAAACTAACAGTGTGCTTTTTCCCACCCTTTGCCACCGTGCGGCCACCACATCTTGTTTCTACTTTGTATAGCCCTCGGCCTATATCAAATGCAATGACAGTGTGATGTTTGGCCTTCTCTTTATTCTTGTCAATGGCCTTCTGTCACTCTCCTTTTACTACTTTCACGTCTAGCCACCACAAATGCATTGACGCGGTAAAAGGAAACTTGTACCAAAGCTTTGATAGGCAAGTATCGGGCACTTTTCATCAGACTGTTGAACACCTCAGCCATATTAGACGTTGTTGTACCGTATCTATACCCCCCATCATGGTGTAATGACCACATTTGTAATGGAATGTTCCCCAGAAACTGTCTCGCCTCCACACGCATTTCCCCTATCTTGTTGAACCCACCTTCAAACTTTTTTTCTGATGCTGTCGTGCGGTCCAAACAAACCAATTCTTCAAGTGAATGTCTTTGAAATGGGTGTGCACATTCGATGCAAGATGGCGCATACATAGCCTATGGTGCGCATAGGGCTCCTCCCAACTACTCCCCACCTTCGTCATAGCCTTAATGATACCTCCATGTCGATCAGAAATGACACATAATTCCCTTTTTGTTGCAAACTCCCTAATGCATGCCATAAACCATGGCCAACTATCTCCATTCTCTGATTCACATACTGCAAAGGCCACAGGAAAGAGTTGGTTGTTTGCATCACTACCCATAGCCACGAGTAATGTACCCTTATAATTCCCATATAGGTGTGTGCCATTAATAGTCAAAACAGGTCGACAATGCTTAAAACCGAGAACAGAAGGCTTGAATGTCCCCGGATTGGAATGCTGGAGCGCTAACATGAAATGGGGCAATTCAGAATAGGACTTCTCCCAACC